GGGGAGTGTGGATCCATCTGTTCTTGTAAATATCTTCTATTACTTCGTATATATCCTTTTGAATTGGAGATTTGTTTTCTCTCCACTGTTGAACTTGTCTTTGTGCCTTCTTTGTGACTTTCGCGTTGGTCCGTGGTGTGGGGCTGGAAACCTTTCTGCGACGTTGCGCTGTTAAGCGTTTGTTCCACGCGCAGTTGAAGGTCAAAGTGAAGGCCAAATTGATGTTCGCAATTGGCGTGAAATGGCATTGTGAGGCGGGTCAGCTGTGGCTATCAATGTCTTGACGCGACTACTTTGCGAGCAAGCTTTGCTTCCTTCACCACACAACAGCTCTACTCGAGACCCATAATTATATAACAGGAACCTAGTAACACCGGCCTGATATCATGTCGTTCCCGGGCCATCGTACTCCGTCTGTCCCGCTTCTGCGTAATGGCGAAGATTGCAACATCATGTAAGATATGCCGCAAATATACCTATACAACTGCTAACACTGCAGAAGTGCTAGACGCAACCAGTTGATGTCCCCGCTCTTAAAACTTCCAGTCGAGCTTCGAGTCAAGATTTACGAGTACACATTCACCGATTCCACTGTCCACATCTCGCTATACGAACCCAGTGGCACTCCTCGGCGACCCCCACCTAAATCTGCAGCTCTACTCTACGTTTCACGTCAGATCAAGTACGAAGCCTTTTCTGTGTTCATTAGCACCTGCACCTTCGATATCACCTCTTGTTGGTTCTGGGATAGGCTGGTGAAGATTGTGGGAGCTCACAACCTCAAGCTCATGACCTCGCTGTTGGCCATGCCAGGTTGTATGCTCAGTCTCATAGAGCACATAGACAAGGCTGATTGGGAGTTGCTCCAGTCGCTACGGCATGTGAGTGTGCTTGTTGACCCGCAATATGAAAAGAGTTCGCAGATCTTACTCCGGGGAATACGTTGTCACTTTTCGAGGGAGATGTCGTGTGTCACTATTCAGGAGGTCGAATCAAGTGCGAATTGACATCGTTCTGGAGAACGGACTTCTTCGAGATCCGGCTCGTGAAAGAGAGTTGAGATCAAAGAGTATATTCGAGGGTGGGAGTGACCGGTTCGTCAAGGACCTCGGGAGCCTAGACCCAAAGTTTGTGGGTTGCTTGGTCATAAAGTTGCTAGCGGAGGAAAGCTCGAGTGGTAAGGGGTGGCTGTGTTGTGTGTCAAGTCCGGCGATATTGATTATTCGGGGCAAGTGGATTCCAGGAGCCGTGGGTCGACGATACCGACCTCGGGATGTAGGAGGTACTCAATGTATGCAGTCAATGTCCATGATAATGTTAGACACCTGTCACTGAACACGCATTCTATGGAAGTAATAAAATGATGCAAGTGCAAAAGATGGTGTTGGCGCGTGTATGTAGCGCCGCCTAGATCTTGAAGCACGTGCACTCACTGCGTCATCAACGATGCAAATATCCTGAGGCTGGTCGTGCCAACCCCCAACCCCAGTTTCCCCGCTGCGTACCTGCATTTAACGTTGAGCCAAAAGTGGTGATGTATGTGCGCAATGGGCCATGGTGTCGGATAGGCCGGCAAATCAGCAAGTACGTGAGTCTTGGCAATACCATCCACGGAACTCGGCTCGCTCCCTCACGGGGCTATGATGACGTTGTTCAACTCCAACTAGAGCTGCGACCATGGGAACATTGCCAATCATAGTCGAATTTTCTTTACGCCCAGCCAGGCGACCAGCGGCGCGGACATGGAGCGCGTCTTTTCAGTTGTCAGAGGTTTCGGAGTCACTGCCGATTATGCGGTGAGTCCCGTGGCGCGAGTGGCTGGGACGCTATACAGACACGGCAGATACATCAGGCACTCTCCACGGCACAGGCGGCGAGGGCCTCTGAAAGACAATCGTGCGACAGTAAGGCTCTCATAATATCCAGTCATTCTAAGTATTGCTATTGTCACGTCGATCACGCATAGCGCAGCCTAATACTGTCTGACATGGCGGTGCCAAAGGCGGGTCATGATGAGCGCCGAGCCCCGGACAAGCTTTTAGACATCCGCGCTGGTAGTTGGAACGGCGCAGCAGGGAACGGACGAGCGTCGCGCCTTATTTTAGGTAGGGCCATGCCCATGTCTTTACGGGCTGCCATTCCGCTTTCTGGAATCCGGCGATCACTTTCAGCGTCCTTCCCCGGTGTAGGACCGACTCCCAAACGACAACATGCTACGATATGACAATATCCTCAAATTCGCCCTCGTTCCGTCGATCGTCTTCCTCCTTCTCTCGGTAGTCTCGGTGGCGTTGACAACGCACTACTGGATCCTTACAGACTGGGTTATACCTCGAGGTCTCAAAGTAGTAACGAGCGAGTTCAATGACCGGCTGCAACAATATGTCGTCGATGACACGATTGTCTATTTCAGAGAGGCGCCGACAGACGCCACTATTGTATCCGGATGCTTGAACCTCACGGCAGCCGTGGTGGCTCTTATTGCTTGGAGTACTCTGCGCAAGCCGGACATGGACTCGCAATACAATAGCGTATGTATCAACGATCTCAACCCGAAGAACTCACATTAATGTTTAGTAGAGCACACGTCGCTTCTGGATGCTCAGCATTGTTGTCACCACTATTGCTGGTTCCGCCACCGCTATCGCAGCTGTTGTGCTTCACTACACCGAGCGAGGCGACGACAAGTGGGGCTGCACTTCCGAGAGGCTCATGATGAGTGGTCAAATGAACACCAATGTGTACTGCACGCGCGAGATGGCAACCTGCAATTACCAACCGGGCTTTATCCCGAGGGGAGACCGTGAAAATGCTAGCGTAGCATGCGCCGAGGCAGTCAGTTACAAACAAGTATGTTGCGTCACGACTCACTAACATCATCACAGGTTACCGTCAAGTGGTTGCAGATCGTAATGACCGTTAACGCGCTGATGTTGCTGGTGATGTTTTCTCTGCAAGCATTCTTACGAAGAAAGTCACGACAAGCACGATTGAATGAACCAGTACCGGAGGAAAAGATGGAGGAAAGCAGCTAACATCCTATTACCCGTTCGACATTTACGATATGATTACGAAACTTCATGACACGTTCTTTTACTATTCATTCTCACTCAAGCGTTGCATCATTGGAGTTTAGGCTACCGCCTGGGAACATTCTTTTGTAGTGGACAACAGCATCTAGGACGGGACAGGCGGCTACATGACGTCAGCGTCTCGCGCAGCCTGCTGTTAGAACGACTGTTGAGATATACATACGCTCATACACTGTGGGTTCCGTATATCATAATGTACCCTGGTTATACACAGACGCTTATACGATTTGGTTTATGCATATCAAAAGTATACCCTAGAGGTATACGCTGCGCTACAGTCGTTTCTGTAAGAGATGGAAAGGCACTGTATACCTTCAGGGTGAACTTTGGCGTGACGTTCAGTGCAAAGGGGGCGGAGTTTGCAAGCTACACGTTGACTGGATCAAAGGTCAAACAAACAATGAGGTGAGCGGTGAAGACGGTGAGGACACTGTCGCGTCGTGCCTTCCTCTTGGGCATGGAGCACGTGGCTGCTTACGTACTCACTGCTCCTTCCCCCAGCAACACCGTTTGTTTGGAGGCAGAGCGCAACTTAGGTAGATTTTTTCTTCTGACTCCTCTTCACCACAGCCGAACCTCTCGTTATGGCCCCTCATCCCCTCTTCCCCAAGCTCGAGGCGGCCGTCCTCGTGGACGGTCGCCCCGTTAAAGAACATGCTGACCGTGAAGATGCTAATGCCGAGTCTAAGGTAGTCTACATTGAGGCCGAAGCGGGCGAGCAGTTTGGCGTCCGATTCTTCATCCCTGGCTACGTCTTCGACCGCCACTCCATTAAGGTCATTGTCAACATCGACGGTGTTGACATGCGCAAGTTCATCTTCGAGAGGCACAAGTACAACCTCTACGGCATCACCAGACAGGTCAATGACAGCAGCGCGCTCATCGGTCACAAGTACCTCGGCCAGCGCTTCCGCTTCGCTGATCTCAACACCCGTAAGCCTAGCCAGTGAGCATTGGTGCCATGCCGCTAACAGATCCAGATGATGACAACTACGAGATTGACCACGCGCTTTGGAAGCAGCTGAAATGGACTGGCAACATCTCAATCACCTTTCACCGGGTCACTAACGTACGCTTCGCCCGTGCGTGGAAAGACGTGCCGTCCATGCGAGAGTACGACGAGGTCCCCGAGAAGGCACTGAAAGGCTCGTCCGTCTCGCACAAGACAACGTATGTATAGCATAACCTCGTCCCTGCAAAGCGCTAACAGTTCTGGAAGCCTCGACCCGCTGCACCGCATTGCACCCGTTACATTCATGGACGCAGACTATGTCGACAGCCCTTCACGCCCTCTTGCTGAGATCGAGTTCCGGTACCGGTCCAAGGAAGCTCTCAAGTACCTGTCCATAATCCCCCGCACACCTAGCCCAGAGCCCTTCAAGGAAGATGTGTCGGAGGAGAAGGTGCAGAAGATCTACGTAAGTCTTCTTCATTACATCTTGTCAAGACGCAAGCTTACAGAACACCGCAGCTCAAGCACGAGGAGACCCAGTCTCGTAAGCGCGACCACCCCGATGACGACCATAACTACGAAGACGTGGAGATGGTAGAGGAGCGACCCGCGAAGCGACGCTGCTTCCCCACCAGCACCGACGAAGTCATCTCGCTCGACTGAGGACACTTCAAAGACACATTGTGGCATCGTACAGCAGGCAGCGCGCATGGAATGCTGAATACGGAGCATTTACTGGATACGAAGGTTTCGCTGGAACAGTACCGTGAACTACAAGCAGGCTCATCTACCGCCCGGGTTTGTGTTCACTAGCATAGCATCGGATACTGAGATTCTCATCTTGAATCGATTCTCCAATTTACCATCATTGGTGTTCTTCTTGGTGTCGTTCTATGTTCCCATTACACCGTGCCATCCTTCTACAGTCTCGACGCCTCTTCTCTAAGAGCCAGAGCTTAGGGCGCCGCAGCAGCCCCAGGCCCAGCCTCAGCATCTACATACGGCACCAGCGTCTCCCTAACATTCGTCAACCGCTCTAGCACATGCCCCACTCTAACCACATCCTCATCTTTCGTCGCCCGCCCAAAGATATACGCCGAGAACGGTATACCAGGCGCCACATTAACCAACCCATTCCTCGCATCCTTCTCCACGGGCGTATCTCGCGGAAAAACACCCATAGGCACACTCATAACCGGACTGCCCGCTTTCGCAGCAAAGCTCTGCATGACAACACTCAGCGTAGGCACGAGCATGACATCGCAACACTTCCTACACAACGCGGCGTCGATACCGCCTTCACCCCTGTAGTACTCGTCTCTCAACAGCATGTTCTCGTAGAGCAGATTATTCGGATCAGAAGCCTGCGCCCTTTCCAGACCCTCGACATTCCGTTGCGGGTACTGCTCTGCTGGGTGTTCTTTTGTGAACGCGATGAGATCTTCGAGGTTACGCACGCTATGCGGGTTTGTGGCGAGGGAGGAGAGGTAGTCGTTTATCGCAATCTTCATATCGGTAGTCAAAACGATGTCTTTGGCTTCTTGCGGGAGGGCTTCCCAACCCTTTGCGCCAGTGACGGTGACGTTGCGGACGATGGTTGCGCCGGCGGTTTCTAACAGTTTGAGCGTTCTTTCGAAGGCTGTCTTCTTGCAAGTAGGCAGACTTAGCATGTCGGACAGGGAGCTAGGGATGCCGACTCGTATGCCATGGAGGTGGGGGATTGAACTTGCGGTGCTGAGATCTTGCACTATCTTCTCTTTCGTTTGGGCGGGGAGGTGATCGCTGTGTTGAACCATACCGATGAGGAGGAGCGCAGCATCCGAGACTGTTCGCGTGAGCACACCAACGGTATCCAGCCTCTTCGACGCATGAATGAGACCTTCGGAGGAGAGCAGACCACGCGTCGGCTTGAATCCCACAATCCCAGATTTCTCCGCCGGAGACACAATCGAGTAGCACGTCTCCGTTCCCAGCGCTGCGAAACACATCCCCAGCGCAACAGCCACCGCACAACCACCCGAACTCCCACTCGCTTTCATACCAGGATAATATATACCCGTTGTCTGACCTCCCCTCCCACTCCAGCCTGAACACCCGCTCGTGGAGCGGAAACCAGCCCATTCGGCCATGTTTCCTTTGCCTAGGATTACCATTCCTGCTTTCCGTACTGCGCTTACGACGTCGGCTTCGCGCGACGGTTTGGCGCCGACTAAGGCCATGCTGCCGCATGTTGTGGATGTGGCGTCGAGAGTGGGTATGTTGTCTTTTAGCAGGATGGGTATGCCGTGGAGGGGGCCGAGGGGGCCTTTTGAGAGGCGCTCGGCATCGAGGTGTTGGGCAAGGGATGTAGCGTCGGGGTTTATCTCTGCTACGGCGTGGAATGTGGGGTTTGTTTCGCGGATTCTGTTCAAGCAGGCTGATGTTAGGTCGACGGCTGTGAAGAGGCGGTTTTGGTAGCCGGTTTGGATTGTGGGGAGCGTGAGGTGGTCTAGACGTGGGATGTTGGGTTGTGTGTTGGTGGGTGTGCTGGCAGACCTGCTGGCCGGTATGTTGATGTGTGGAGTTACCATTTTGGACTTATTCTAAACCTGGTTCTAAACAAGGTGCTTTAGTATTGCAGACGTGGTGGGAACGTTATGTATTCAGGTCATTCGCTGTGCGCTCTACTGCAGACTTACTGGCCCCAAGGGTCTGGTTAGGGCTCCTTTGTCGGATATATACTGTGTAATGTCACAGCGTTCTTGAATCTCGGTGGACATTGACACCAGTTATTCACCATGACTGACAAAGAAGAGTCGATGTTGATATATGCGTGCGTGAAGTTGAGGCTATGATATGATTTAGATTCTTGAATGACCCTTACATAACTGACAGATCAACCGTCGATATATTTTCCACAGTCCTTAGTCCAACACAATGACTTCAGTTTCATCGCTTGGCATCTGTCTGACACGCTCAAGCTTCCTCTTCTTGCGTAGATCAACCGAACGTATCTCGATGAAGTCGTCGTCGCAAGCTATAACTCGACTATCGACGTTGTGGTCGTCGCCTGCCACGGTGGAGGTATCGGAAAGCTCGCGCTTCATGCGTACGCGGGTCTCCTCTTGATCCTAGTCGATGTCAGCATGTAAAATGGTAGGGTGGGTAATGGGGATCATCCTACTCTGAAGCGGCGGACGATAGACTCTAGTTGTTCCCTGTTCAACTGCCCGAGCACCATATCATCGCTGTCGAGAACGTCGACTGGATCAGGCGTACGTTCAATGATGTGAAGGTCTTTGAGCGCAGCTAGAACGTCAATAGTCAGTGTTTGCCTGCTGTTGGCTCATATCTACAAAGCTTACCGAGTGAGCGATAGTAGAAGTGGAATGTCGCAAACGGTTCTCCGCCATCAGCATAGTCCGCATCGTAGTACTGGATCTCTTCCGTGGGCTCTGTATCACCGAGACTGCGAGTACGTTAGCTCGGGGTGACATCCATGTGGGGTTTTGCATACACTGCCTGATGCGACAGCGACTCGCCCTTGATAGCCTTCTCGTTGACCGTATCCAGCTTCTCCAACTCCTTATGTACAAAGACCATCTTCGGATTGCGTCTTGCGTTGTCGAGGAAGTAGAACTCGCAGGTAATGATACCTATAGGCTGCAGTTTGCTCTGCATGTCTTCTGGGATGCGCCCCTCGCTGTACTCTCCTGCGTTTCTCTTAGCACAGTGTCACCTTTTAGGAGGTGAAGATGACTTACTGATATCAAGCGGCGAGAAGCGATAGTTCTGTGTGAACCAGTCTTTACCATCGTTCGATATCGGTCCAGAGCTGACGTGACCATTTGCGTCGTACAGCTCGTCGGGGCGAATGAGCGGCTCATCAACATCCTTGCCGTCGATGGTCACGATCATAGACACAGGACGGTCGACGGGGAAAGGCGCCTTGAAAGAGTAGTGAATTTCGAATGTTGAGTCTGACTTTGCTTCGATGTAGCTTTCGGAGATAGCTTCCGATACGGTAGTGTGGCGGTCGATGTACTCGCGAAGCGGGTTGCCGTCAGCTTGGACGTGAACTTCGAGCCCGGGGGCCTCATCGACGACTGCCATTGGGAAGGTACGATTGAAGTACGATATGAGAGGTAAGCGATGAGGGTAATGAGAAGCTGCGGTAGATCTACGACGCGTAGAGTATGCTGAAGATATGTTCTTGAAAGAAGACTTCACCTCGACTGAAGATGTCGGTGCTGGAGCGCAGAAGCCGAGGTGAAGGCGAGTATTGGCAGGTGAGAGATGGTGGCCCAATATTTCTCGGCTCCGACGCGTCACGAAAGTCGCGCGCTCCAGTACGAGAGGTGAACGTGGCTGTCGCGTTGGTGGCTCCTTCCCTTCAAGTGAACTCAGATTTGGCGTAGATTTCTAGCGCCCTAAACAAACGAAGGGAGTAGAATGAAGAACCAAGATGCAGAGATATGTATGAATAGATGGATACGAAATAGACATACGTCCGTTAATGCTACCAGCATTGCTACCAACGATGGCAACTGAGAGATGACACCGGATCCCCAAGCCTTGGGGAACATTGTAATGACCTAGGATTGCACGATCAAGTCATCAATGAGCCTGACAGGTGGGCACGTTCAATCATCCAGAGCCACGACTTCATCATCAGGACCAGGAATGCGACGTATCCTCTTCACAATCGGATGGGCCGGCTGGCTGCCGATCCACTCGACCTCCTCACCAACTAGGGTATCCTCACTGCCTTCTCGGTCTTCCTCGCGTTCGCGCTTGATGTTGATTACGTTCTGTTCCTTCTCCTGTTTGGCAGTTAGTGAAGGACACATGAATTGCATCCCCCATGATGTGGCGCGACTTACGCGCATGCGTCTAACCACCGCCCTCAATTCCTCCGCGGTCATGTCCTCTGGGTCCCTATCTTCAGCCTCTGATTCTGGCTCCGGAGATGGGCTTGGCGTACGCGGGATGACGCCGATGGACTTGAGCGCATCTGAGTGACTGTCAGCTATCATCACGAACTAACTATGTATACGTGCGACTGACCGGTCGATCTATAGTAGAAGGTGAACGTTGCGAAAGGCTCGTTGTCAGTCGTCTTGACCTCGTTGTAAGTGATGGCATCACGTTGCTCGGGTGCTGTGAAGCTGGCGGCCATGTCAGCGATCATCCTTCCTCGTGGTGCGTGGGAAGAACTTACCTCGTTTGATGAGACAGTTGATCGCCCTGCATCGCAGCCGCTTTGTGTAATGCCTTCTCGCTGAGAACATCAAACTTGTTGCTAGCTAGCTGAGGCACTTCTGCGGGCATCACTACTTCCAGATGCTCGATGAAGTAGAAGTAAAGCACAATGCGGCCAATGGGTGACAGTCGATCCGCGAGCTCCTTGGTCATGGGAATGTTGGTCTCATCTAAGCTTCGTCAGCGACCGTTATGATGGATATTGAGACAAAAGAACTTACCGGTCCTCAGCTCAGCGAATTGGAAGCCCTGCGTGAAGCTGTGTCCGCCAGTCGACGAAGTGGATCGTGAGCAAAAGTAACCCTCGCACTCTTCCTTTCCACCCCACTCGACAAATGGAGCTTGTACGTAGTTACCGTCTAGCAATACATCCATTTGCACTGCCGATGGCGGGGTGAAAGGCGGACGAAACAAGTAGCGAATGGAGAAGTTGGCAGCTGGCGGCGCTTCGATATACCTGGATGCAGAGGTCGCAACGCCATCATCTTCGACGATTCCATGTTCGTACTCTGGTAGTGATGCCGCGTCGACCTCGATAGTGACTTCAAGACCTGGGATACCCGTTGCGATGGCCATTGCGATGGAATGCAGAGATAAGAGAAGAAGCTGCGAGCGACTGAGTAGACAATGTCGCTAGGGAACGATTAGAGGCACCAGCCACAAGGAGAGGCTCACTTGAGGCTCACAGTTGCTCAGGTGAGAGAGCTGACCAATCTACAAGCCCACAAAACAACTGAGAAAGACGCTGGAATGAGGAAATTCGGACTAAGCCTTGCTTGTACTCAAGGTGACTACGATAAGACCACTCCGCGGTGTTTTGCGCTAGAGTCAATCCGTTACGCCTTATTCATACGCCAGCAACTAGAACCGCGCCGCAGAAAGCTAGAGAGCCTTCGAAAAGAACCAAGATAAAAGCCAAAACCCTGCCAGGACCATGGTATAGGCACCGATCCATCCTTATGTCAGATCGATAATCTCGGCACCATTCTCATCGAGAGTAACGGGAAGCCGTCTACGCTTAGCAGATACGAAAGTAACGTCGTCATCGTCGTTATCCTCGTTGATAATGGTGCTGCTTCGTTCCCGCTTGATACGCTCTCGCTTGATGACTGGAGCGGCGTCCCTCTGCTCACGCTGGAGACGAATGAGCTCGCGTGATTCTTCCAAAGTAAGAGTGTTGACGTCGCGCTCTTCGAGCGGTACCGGGCTAGGAGTTCGTGGGATGACGAGGAGGGATTTGAGAGCAGCTAAATGACATCGACATTAGTACAAATACGGCGACCACGAAGAGCTCACACACCTCTCGAGCGATACTTGAAAGTGAACTCTGCAAACGGCGTTTCGTCGATCTTCGTGGTTTCAATCGTGCTGTACGCCTGCATGACTTCTCGCGGGCCGTAGCTAATCCCAGTATAAGTATTTGTGAGTATTGGGAAAGACGCTCGCTGACCTAGCCTGATGGGATAGCGCACTGCCTTTGAGGGCTTTCTCCGGCACAACACCCAGATTCTTGTCCTTCCGTACCGTGACCGGGGTTTTGTATGTTGCGCCAGCTGTCGCCCAATAGAAGCGCACAGATATAACACCCACCTTATGGAGCTTCTTCTTCAGTGAGTCCTTAAATGTGCGTGGATCACCGTCGTCTGAAGTGAAAGTCAGCAACTAGTTGACTCAAGAAACAGAGAGACGAGACCATTAATTTCGAGCTGCGAGAAGCAGAACTTCCTTAGATAGTATTCGCCATCTTCGAATGCGCGCGATCCCTTGAAGGTATACGCATTATTCCAGCGAACTGAACTGCCAGGGTTGAGGACACTACCAGTCGCATATTCACCGTCGATGTTCAGCTCCGAGAGAATACTGTGGCGAATACTGAATCCCGGAGAGAAGCAGTATTTGACCTCAAAGTTGTCACCAGACGAGGCTTCGATGTACTTGGTGACCTCGTCATCCGAAGTTTGATCATCATCGTCGACATACTCTTCAAGCTGAGCGCCCTTGACGAAAACCTCGACTTTGAGATTAGGATGCGCTTTGGTGATCGCCATCTTGAAGACAGCGGCGGGGTGGAGCCGGAAACGAACAAAAAGAGCGTCTATGGCCGCGAGAGACCTGCAGTGGTCAAAGTGAGGATGAGACGTGACAGGCGCAGCGCGCTGAAAGTGGAGGTGCGGCCTCAGGTCCGGGGTCGTGGTTACCGCCGTGGATTCGCGCCGCGGCGCTAACGCGCGTTGCCACGTGAAAGTGCCAAACAATGCGCTTAAACGGAAGGAGCATCCCTATGTACCAGTGAGCAACGTCGAAGCACTGCGAAAATTATATTGAAGTCAGTCAGTATATACACAAAAAAGTCTATTCATCTCCGTACTCCAGTCCAGTCCAGCTTTCCACCCACCTATATACCGTCCATCCATTCCCATCCGCTCTGTTAGTACCGAGCATGGTATCATTCCTCCTTCCCCCAAGTAACAAAGTAAAAAAAAGAGTGCAATCCGTCGCCGCACAGTAACCCCTAGATCGGGTACATGGCTTGTAATAATGACAAAACATTACGCCCCCTAAACAGGCGAGAACAGGACTGCACAAAAGATCAGAGGTTCGGTGGTCTTCTTTGTGGTGGATGTCGCAACCGGTACGCCAGTGCAATGATGGAACCGCCCTGCCATATGCTGTTGTACGTGAATAAAGACTGAAATGAAACGCTATGCAGTCGTTATCATGGGAATATGCCTCCATGCAATGGTATCATTCGCGGGTATGGACTAGGCCGTAATTGTTGGGAGATCGCCATGGTAGTAATGCTGTGATGAATGGGAATTGTAGTGTGGCGGAATGGTGATGACGGTCGATGGTCAAAGGGCGTTGCTGTGTCGATCTACCATGCGCCTATGCTTGCAGGGGAGCCAGTTCCGTAGTTTCCGCTCAGCAGCTGCTGGCGGATAGACATGGCATCGTTGGACCCGCCGGCGGCGGAATTGGGTGTCTCTGCGCCCATCCAGCCGAGTCCTCCGCGCAGCTCGTTGACTGCCTCCTGCATCTTTCCGCCCGAGATCTCATTGTGTTTCGCGATCTTCTCATCCCATCCGCCGTATTGGAGCTGTATTCCGCCCGCCTTCTTTGCTGCCTCCTGGATGACCATCGCCCATGCCTTGGCCATCTCCTCGTACGCCTCTTGCTTGTGACGGTTGTGTTGGTACGTATCCCAGTTGGGTAGACGATGGATGATCTCGGTGGCGCCGTCGAGGAAGGCGAGCGATGTGGCGGGCTGATGTTCGTGCGGCGGGAGGAAGTGAGGTGTGAAGTCTTTGAGGGAGTCGAGCAGTTCATCGAGTTGTTGCCGCACCCTATTGTATGCATAGTCTGATGACGCACGGCCGCCAAAGGGGAAGGCTGCCTGGAACGCCGCCTCGTACTTTGACAGGACCTCCAACGTTGACTGTATGCTTGGCCGGGGCGCGGTTGTGACGACTTCGTTGCCGATGTCCGGGTGGCGCTGGCAGATGGACTGCAGCAGGTTGCGCATCTCGTCGGGGCTGAGCGTCTCGAGGAGGCGAGGGAGAGGGAGTGGGCGGCCGGAGATGTTGGTTCGCATGCGCTTCATGCCTCGTGGCGCGGGTCGTGGGAGTACGGCGGAGGATGTGGTGGGCGATGCACTCATGCGGTCGTCGTCGCCGGCGCTGCCATCGTCCTCGGCTTTCCGCTTGCGGCCAGTCATGGCGGCGGAAGGGGCGTAGGCTGCGTGAGGGTGAAAGTTAGTGGCTGACATGGAGTTGAGGTGTTGCGAGCAGCGAGTGGACGTACGGTTGCGGGAGGGAGAGCGGCGGTTGTTGTTCAAGAGATGAGGGGGCGTGAATGTCTGCTGGTACTGCACACTCATGACGAGAAAGGGCCCGCAAACGCAGTGATTTCGCACGCCTGCTTTGTTGGGAGCCGGATAGCGATGTCTGGGTGGTGATGCAATGGGCGGGCTCTCGTTGCGTGGGCCGTGGGCGGTGTCGGGTGTTGTGTTGTTGCTGTGGTGGAGACAGCAGAGCCATACGAAGGCCCAAGAATGTGCTAACAACCGGCAAGTCCGTGCACCCAACCAATCACGTCACATGTCACCGATGTCAACCACGATAATTGCCCTTTCATCTGGGGTTGAGGGTGGGTTCTCTCGCCACTTTTGCTTTTTCCATAAAAATCGCCCCTTCATGCCCTGCCTTCAGGTGGTCCCTCATCACAAAAGAAACCGCAGCGGCTAAGGCGGCACTATCTATATCGCATCACATATCACCATGCATTTCTGGAAAAATGTACGTGGGGGATCCTCAGCCATGGTGCAAGCCCACAACATCAGATCTAGTGAATTTCTATTCAGGACGCATTAACGCTGTGCCCCTTCTTGAGGTGCACAGCGTCGATAGCTCCTTGCGTGCGCCTGAGACAATGGCATGTCCGGTGGCGTTTTCATTCAACCGCATAAAGGAGAACGCCATGTGAGTGCCATACTTACCTGCTGAACGATGATGCTACCAAATACTCCCACCAATACCATAATATACAAGACGTGCTTCACGCATTACAGGTACAGGGACTGAGCGGCGACCAAATCCCTGCGGACGAGCTCAAGTGCTGCAGTGAACTTTTGCTCAAGCTCTTCGCTTCCCATGACCTTGGAGGCCTGGGCCATTTGTCGGAGCAACTCTTCTAACCGTCTGAACAGACGAATCAGACTTCCCTCGTACACATCGGTCATTTTGCTGCTCGAAGTTAGTTGCCGTTCAACGCGGTAACAAAGCGAACATACCAAATTTGTGCAAACGTCGCACCCTTCGACCAGGCGAAGACGACCTCCATCAGCTCGTATTTGAACGACTTGAGGTACTCCTCCTCGTTGACTGTCAGCTTGCTCTCTTGTGACATCTTCGCGATAACCCTAGCTTGCTGTTGGATTTCGCGGTATGGCTTGGCAAGCTCTTCTTTGAGCGCTGGCACTTCTTGCGTCTTCTCCTCGAAGATGAAACAGCTAAGACAAGCGACGCACTGTTCTGGCGTCAGCTCATTAAAGAAACGGTTGAAGAGCAGCTCGCTAAGCACGAGCTCGTCACCAGTGCTGATTTCGCAAGCGACACGGGCCTTTAGCTGCACGACATCGGCTTCGTCGATGAAGCCGAGGCGTCGCAACACACGTTTCCTGCTCTTCAACTCGTCTAACTGAATGACCGACAAAGCGTTCGCAATCTCTTTCCTGATGTTCTTGATCTTCTCACCAATCGCAATCTTCTGCGCATATTGGCTGTACAGTTCGGGTAGCCTAGGCGAGTTGTGGAGAGGGTTCGAGAGAAGACGAGACTCCAGTACTTCGATTTTCTGCACAATATTAGACAAAAATGCAGATTCTTGATGGTGAAGCTTACCCTTAGCAGCCTCTTGAAGCTGTCGTCTTTAATGCCCATGTTCTCGATTGGGTCCAAGATAGCAATTCCGTCAGGGAAGCGCTTCTTGACCTCGCTCAGTGCTTTGCGAACATTGTTCCGTTGCTCTGTCGACTTAAGCTCGTTGGGGAGGAAGACACGGAGATGACCAATAGATTCGATGCAGTTCAGAACCACAGGGACAACCTCCATCTTGCCCTTGTCTCCCGCCGCAGGTGGGCGCACACCAGGCGGTAGGCCGTCGTTCACCGCTGGTACAAACTTAGTGTCGCTGCTGACCGGTAGTAGAACGTCGACAATGTAGGATTCTTCAGGTGGCAGAACTTCGCCCTTATTAGCCTTGCGAGCCGTGTACGCTACAACAGCACCCCAGCCGAAATCATAGTCCTTGAACTTGATCTTGACCATTCGGCCACCCTGTAAGAACTGCAAGCAGTAGTTCGGCTGCATGATCACGTCACGCATGTCCTTAGTGTGGTTGTCCAGTTGCTGTCGCAGATTGTAGTAGTCCTTGATAGCCGGCTCGTCAACAATATTGGTGTTCGCCTTTTCTTCTTCAAGCTTCTCGAGTTGCTTCTCCAAGTTGGAGACCCCTGCCGTGCTCTGGAACTGGAAGAAACACCTCTCCAGCATGAACTCGGGGGAGATGCCTTCCACTCGCATGAGGTTGAGAATCATGTTGTATCCCAAATGGAAAGCTGAGTTGAGGTTATCCTGTTGACCGCGGACAATCTCCTTAGCCACAGCAGGCTCCATCTGCTCGCCAATCATCATGATGACAATGCCACGGTCATCGAGACCACGACGCCCAGCTCGGCCAGACATTTGGATGAACTCAGAAGGCGTGACCCATCGCTGCGATACTCCGTCAAACTTGCGCACACTGGTAAAAACGACTGTCTTGGCCGGCATATTCAATCCGATTGAGAAGGTTTCGGTCGCGAAAAGAACCTTGATCAGTCCTTCTTGGAACAAGATTTCGATGGTCTCCTTCAAGATCGGCAGAAGACCGGAGTGATGAACACCGATACCTCTCCGGAGAAGGGGGAGAATGTGCTGAATTTGGGGTAATTGTCGGTCCTCCTCTGACAACATCTCGATGGCGCTGTTGAAGACCTTGGTAACCATGGCCTTTTCGGAATCGTCGTTGAACGCGAGCGAGCTCATAGAAAGCGCGTAGTTCTCGCATTCCCTCTTGCTAAAACTGAAGACGATGACCGGGTTGTAGCTCTTGACCATGATCATCTTGACAATCTTGTAGATATCCGTCTGGTCCTTGTTGCCGCCCGTGTTGGTCTTCTTGTCCTTGCCCTTGCCTTTACGCTTCGCCATGAAGTCCTTGGCCTCGCTTCCGCCCTTGTCCGCGATGGAAGACATGGCTTTCTGGAAGTTCTCTTCGCGGAACACACCCTTTTCATCTACCACCAAATGTATACCGTCGGCACCAGCGGGGAAGAAATAGTGTTGTAGGGGCGTCGGACGGAAATCGGTGTAGACAACGTGGCACGGCTGGCTATGGGTCTTGGTGATCCATTCCGCGAACTGCATGGCGTTGGGAATGGTGGCGGAGAGGAAGACGTAGCGGACCTTGTCTGGCAGAAGAATGATAGTCTCTTCCCAGACGACACCTCTTGACTTGTCGCGCAGGTAGTGAACTTCGTCGAATACGACCCAAGCTACTTCGCGCATGATCTCGGAACCTCTGTACAACATAGAGCGCAGAATCTGGATATGTTAGTCTTCATCCTCCTCCAAAGCGTTGCGTACATACCTCCGTCGTCATGACCAAACAGGTTGCAGTGGGGTTGATGGTGACATCACCAGTCATCAGACCGACGTCGCCAAACTCTGCCATGAACTCTCGGTACTTCTGGTTGCTAAGCGCCTTGATAGGACTGGTGTAGATGACTCGCTGGTTGTTCTTGAGACATTGCGCGATGGCGTATTCTGCCACAACTGTCTTTCCGGCAGAGGTATGCGCTGATACCAGAACACTTTCGTTTCGCTGTATCGAGGCGATGGAGACCTGCTGGAAGGGATCTAGGGTAAAAGGCCACTCGCGCGCGGGCTCTGCGGGGGCCTTGTGCTCAGAGATGGGGACGTAGTCGTAGTCCGGAGGGAGCGCGACTTGATGGCGGACCTGATGCGAAAGCACCACTGCCTGACCCTCTTGCGACTGCGCTTGTAGACCCGCTGCGGCAGCCATTTCGCGCGTCTGCTCTGTCTCGAAATCGTCGGTAACTATAGGCTCGGGCTCGTCGCGCTTCTGCTTCTTCTTCAGAGCCTGCGCGCTACTGTTGTCGTTCGCGGTCCCAGCTGGCTCTGCAGGCGCATCCGCCATAGCAGTGTCAGCGACGGGTTCAGGCGACTTGACGGTGCCATTCGCCTGGCGCTTCTTGTTCTTCCGGGGCGCCGTGTCCGTGGACGGGCCGCCCTCAAAGACGTCGAACATGTCGTCGTCCATGGTGGGTGGTTGGTTTCACTCTGTGCGCGGTTGAGTGAGTTTGTTTCGTGGGGTTGCGTGGTGGACCAGACAGGCAGTTTTGACCTGTCGCGAAAGATTATCGAAGGCGAGCGCAACGGCGATCGAGAAACTTTGATGGGCCTTACTAAGCGGGTCATTGCCAAGACATGGCAGCCATGGAAGCTGCAACTCATCGAACCACCGCGACCAGAACTCCGCAACCTCTCCACTCTACAACACAGACAAAGTACGCCCCAACTCCACGCCAATTGCAACACCAGCTGACTTCCGAAGATGCTTGCCCGTGCTACCTTCCGCGCCGCCTCGGCCCCAACTCTCGTCGCCCGCCGCGGCTTCCAATCCACCCGCGCCCAGTTCGCCAGCCCATACCACTACCCCGAGGGCCCGCGCAGCAACTTGCCATTTGACCCGCTGAAGAAGGGCTTTGCCTTCAAGTACTGGGGATTTATGGGTACGCACTGGCGCGTCGCAATCACTGGGTTGTGCTAACATTCGCAGCCACCGGATTCTCCCTGCCATTCCTCCTTGCTGGTGAGGCGCCCGACTCGCTGATATCTACTATGAGAACATATCTAACAGAATCTTCACAACAGTCTGGCAGACGAAGAAGAACAAATAGATGCAGTCATTCGGAGCGTGGGCACGATACTGGACTATGGGAAGGACACGGGATTTGTAGAATATCGGAGGGTCGCTCGGAGACCCGTATAGACACCACAGCATCAATTTCATTGTCTGTCTTCCATCATGATCCAATGCATGCAGATTACCAGTCCTAATGATACTTGTTGGATACCTCGGTGGGCAAGAGCTGTCTCTTTAACTTCGAAACGAGGTTCTGCAATTCTATTCTACCATGAACCAGCACTGTTGAGAAGTAGCATTTTCCGAGCAAATACGAACCAGGGGATGGACGGTGAGCGAACGTGGTTCAATTGCAACACCTTGATGACGATGAGATGCGTTGCGTTACCCTTCGGTAGAAGCTCGGCGCTAGCATCACCAAAAATTCGGAAGCGCGATTCTGCCAACGGGGCTAGTGACCAGTCATTCGAGCAACAGGACGCAACATTGCCACGAACACAGTCCATGATTCTTCGGCAATGCGAAACCTCAAGATTGTAGGAAGATCGCTTCTGCTCTTCTCTGGAGACGAGCCGCTACCGTTAACGGCGACTGCTTGGGACGCCGCATCAAATGCGCTGGTATGCGCCTTCGGTCCTTCGGAATCACGTGCGACCATCGAACTCAAGAGACTGCATCATACTCGCAACGGCGTCGAGGAAAAGCTTGAAAGCATCGCATCGTGGGATGCGCCGTGCCCGCTGCCCTCGCTTACCCATGACTCAATCTTGAGCCTGCACCATTTCGCCGACACTTCGACATCATGTTTAATTTTGGCCGGAGGAGACATCGTGCTCGTGCGAGAGGACCCATCATCTACAGAAGAGCTAGTTGAGATCGTGGGCTCAGTCGATGCCGGTATCTCTGCTGCGGCGTGGTCACCAGATGAAGAACTTCTCGCCATCACCACACAGGCGGACACTTTGCTATTGATGAGCCGGGATATCGAAAACATTGCGAGTATCAATCTGACTCCGGAAGATGTCAACGTCTCCAGTCATGTCTCGGTTGGCTGGGGAAAGAAAGAGACACAGTTCAAGGGCAAACGAGCCAGAGCACTGCAAGATCCAACAGTGCCGGAAAGTATCGACGAGGGTGTACTTAGCCCATTCGACGATCGCTCTGTCACGATAAGCTGGAGAGGTGACGGCGCATGGTTTGCAGTCAACAAGGTCGAGGAAGAACGCCGTCGCATGATCCGTGTCTACTCCCGCGAAGGACAGCTGGACAGTGTGAGCGAGCCCGTGGACGGTCTTGAAGGAGCTCTCAGTTGGCGACCATCGGGTAATCTGATTGCGAGTACCCGTCGCACCGAAGATAAGATTGAAGTGGTGTTCTTCGAGCGCAATGGTCTTCGCCACGGCCAATTCGATCTTCGATTTACCCCGGAAGAGCTAGCAGCCCTCTCGATTCCGTTAACACTCAAGTGGAATAGCGACTCCAACGTCTTAGCTGTGTCATATCCTGACAAAGTACAACTTTGGACGATGAGTAACTACCACTACTATCTCAAACAAGAACTTCGATTTCCGGACGCTGCTCCTCGAACAGTCATATGTAGCTGGCATGCTGAGCGTCCGCTTGTAGTAGCTTTGTCAACTCCAGGTAAGCTGGCCCTCGTCAACGCGAGGTTAATATGACTAAGTACAGTCCAGATGCGCTTCAAGTGCTTGAGTACGCGTCCACAATCTCGGCTGGCTCAGTCGCCCCGCCGAACGATTTTGGCATGGTCGCATCAATAGATGGATGTGAGTGATGCACTCTATATGCGTGATTTGTCTGATACTGATTACTGCAAGTATCTCTGAAACTCACACCACTTCGCATCGCGAATGTGCCACCTCCCATGTCACTTCACACTCTGGCTCTCGACTCAAAACCCACGGACGTAGCGCTTTCAAAATCTGGCAACCGCTTGGCAGTGCTCTCCGACGGCGACCTTGCCGTATACGCTCTCGATCTCAACAAGCGGCCTATACCCAAGCCTAGTCTCCTCTGGCGCAGTGATGCGATAAGTCATGGCTCACCACGTCACGTCACGTTCTTTGGTGAGGATCAGATCTTCGTACTATCAGACAGCTGGGACGAAGAGGAAAGCTCGCTCTGGCAGTCCGAAGGCGATGTGTTACTACCTCAAGGACACATAATGGAGACCGAGAACGCGTCCATACTTCTTTCCAACGTTCATCAAGAAACGCCGTACATCGAGTTTCAGAATGGTGCCTTACATCAGGTCGTTGTAGATGAGCTGAGATCGGATTGTGCTCCATTAACGCCTTTTGTGCATAAGTTTCCTTCATTTGCGCCCGAGGTTCAAGTTATCAATGTTGAAGGCCAGGTACGCAAACATACTCTCCGCGAGGCCGCATCAGCTAGCTGACATAGCCAGACATTAGCATTTGGATTGACAAAGAGTGGAGTGCTATACGCCAATGAGCGCATACTGGTCCGCAACTGCACTTCTTTCGTGGTTACTACAGCGCATCTCATTTTCACAACGACGCAACATCTACTCAAGTTCGTGCATCTCGCTAGTGCAGATGGTAAGTCCGCCTCACGATATGAGAACTGGGAGCATGTTCTGACATTCACCAGAGCTCGAAGTACCCGCAGACGAGCCACAAAAGGATGAGAGATGCAGGAGCATCGAAAGAGGAGCAAAGATCGTTACTGTGATGCCTACGACATACTCAGTCGTGTTACAGATGCCAAGAGGTAATCTTGAGACGATCTATCCGCGAGCGCTTGTGCTTGCTGCTATCCGTCGCAACATCGAGGCAGAGCGTTACGATGAAGCCTTCTTTGCCTGTCGTAATCAGCGTGTCGATCTGAACATACTTCATGACCACGATCCGGAGCGGTTCATGGCGAGCCTGGAAAAGATTGTTTCACAGATCAAGAAGATCGAACATATTGACTTGCTTCTGGCACAGCTCCGGTAAGCGATTAGACATACATCTGAGAAGATGGTTGCTAACTGTTCAAGTAACGAGGACGTCTCGGAGACCATGTATAAGGAAACATTGAAGACGAAAGATCTGGCTACGAAGCCAAAGCTCTCCCAAGACCAAGTCGAGAACAAAGTAAACCGGATATGCGACGCTTTCCTGGCCGTATTAGAGAAGTCTCAATACAAGGACGCACACCTGCAAAACATCATCACAGCCCATGTCTCCAAGACACCACCAGCTCTGGAAACAGGTCTTGCTATGATAGGTCGCCTACAAGGTGAGTCTTATACATTTGCGTTCTCCGCAGTTCTAACATATCATAGCATCTAGCGATCCCCTCACTGATAAGGCCGCCGAACACATATGCTTCCTTGCAGACGTCAACCAACTATACGACACATCTTTGGGACTGTACAACCTTGACCTCGCCCTGCTAATCGCTCAACAGTCACAAAAGGTATGCTGATCGAATGCATGGGTCGCATTAGTAGCTGACCGTCAATAGGATCCGCGAGAGTATCTGCCACACCTGCAGTCTCTGCAAGATCTGCCCGAAACTCGTCGCAAGTTCAAGATCGACGACCAGCTCGGACGAAAAGCGAAAGCTCTCACGCATCTCAAGGATCTTCAAGCCTACGATGAGGTACAAGACTATGTGCAAAAGCATGATCTCTACCCTGAAGCCTTGAGCATGTACCAATACGACAGCACCCGGCTGAAGGAGATCATGAGGTTGTACGCAGACTTCTTGAGTACTAACAACAAGAACAAAGAAGCTGCATTGGCGTACGAATACCTCAACGATCATGCCTCCGCTTGGCCGTGCTACCGTTCAGCCAACCTCTGGCGTGAGGCTTTGTCGTCTGCTATTCTCGCCGAAGTAAGCGCGGAAGAACTCTCAAGCATTGCGACAGATCTTGCAGAAGGTCTCACAGAATCCAAAGACTACCTGTCAGCTTCATCAATAACACTCGACTACCTCTCCGACCTTGCGTCCGCGGCACGTCTCTTATGCCGAGGCTGCCACTTCGCCGAAGCAATTCGCATCGTCACACTCCGCCGCGAGCCCTCTCTCATCACCGAAATCATCGACCCCGGCCTTGTTGAGCGCAGCGCAGACATGACTGAATTCCTCGCCGACATGAAGGGTCAACTGCAAGCACAAGTACCTCGACTCAAGGAACTCAGGGCCAAGAAAGCAGAAGATCCGCTAGCATTCTACGAGGGCATGATCGACGGTCCTGCCGATGCCAATATCCCCGACAATATCTCTCTGGCGCCCACGGATACAACAAGCGGTGGCACGTTCATGACCAGGTACACAAACCAGACTGGTACCGTCAACACAACAACTACGCGCAAGACAAGCAAGAACAAGCGGCGAGAAGAGAGGAAGCGTGCGCGCGGTAAGAAGGGTACGGTATACGAAGAGGAGTATCTCACCAACTCTATCGAACGCCTCATCGAGCGCATCAACAGCATGCAAGAAGAGATCCAGCGTCTTGTCGAGGGTTTGGTTAGACGGGGTATGAGGGAGCGTGCTGACGCCGTGTCCAACGCTGTCAACGAGGTGATGGAACGGTGTCAAGATGCTATCAAGGAGATGTATCCACCTGCTACTGCTGGAAGCTCTGAGGCTGCCAACGGGGCACCGATTGGAGTTGAGGGCGAGGCGATGAAACCTACTGGTGGGGATGCGACGCTTTGGGATAGCTTGCAGGAGGTTGGAAAGAAGAGGGAGGCGCCTGCGGTGAAGATGTTTGAGAGGCTTAGCCTTTTGGGATAGGCAGGCTGTGGTCTTTCAAAGTAGCCATGCTTGAGACTCCTGAAGCTACAATTCTATGTGTCTCAGAAATTGCTACTTGGACGGTGTTGCGCAGGTGTCATTACCCCTGATAGTGAATCTATGGCGGATGGATGACGTAACTAGCGTCTTGTCACATCTCCGCGTTGTCGCGTCATCTCTCTTTGAATGCATATTCTCGCAAGATACGCGTCAAAACCACGCGATCCAAAGCATTGCTTCGCGGTTCTTGCCCAAGCGCACCCATGCGAGTCAAATGTGCAGCTGAAGATCACGCTTTTGTTCATTTATGCTATACTGACGTTTCCAACCCCGTAATTGTTCCGCCATGATACGACCTCCCGTACCACTCACGAACGCGCCGACGCCGTACCAGACATGACCGACGACTTTTCCTGCGGCTTCAGTGCTCCGTCCGTTGTCTTTGATTACACACCATGAGCGCCCGCCCTCTCTGAAGCCTCCCGACGCCTTCAATGCTCACCTTGTGCAGTCCCATTTGCGTTCGCCCAAGCTCAAATACCCTACTCTACCTTACCACATATTCCGACAGTCAGCCCTCAATCTGACAAACCTCGACACCTTGCTCCGCGCAAGCGACCTGGAAATCGAACAGCGCCCCCGCACCACCCACGTCCTCCTCCGCAATTTCAGTCTTCACGAAGATCTTCCACTGCTCGCGGCCGGAGTGCTTGACGATCGTAGCCACCAGTCGCTGCAGGCTGCGTACTATACCTTTAGCGAGCTTGTCGTGGTCAGGCTCGTGGTTGTCGGAATGGAAGAACAACCAGTCGAGATACTCTCCATACCGCCTATCTAGCTGGGACTTCTCGTTGAAAGGGAGCATTTGCTGGAAGAAGCTGCCGAGGTTCAGGTGCACAGATTTCGAAGCGACCTGGTCTTTGTCTTGCTCCTTGCACAGCAGCGTTACGATGCACACCAGACGATCGATAAAGGCGTACGGATTGCCGTATTGCAGCAGGTCTTCCGAGAGATCGATCTTGATGGTACGGAACTAGTTGGCTGTCTTCCAGATTGCGCTCTTGCATGTAGTAGGCTTCCTGTAGCCGATGACCTTGCGGAGAGTACGCGGGCGGGGGAGGGTGGTGTAGTACTTGCTTATACTGCCCTCGGTATTGAGGAGAAGAGGGGTTTTGTCGAAGACGACCCACATCGCCTCCGATCTGATCGCTTTAGAGATCTGGAGGATGTTAAATCGACCTGCTCCAGATTTAGCCTTGGCGCCATGCTTGGGACATAGCTCGAGCATCCGCTTGGTTGTTCCAGGGTGGCAGCACTCCTTGACTACGACAGGCTCGTCTATATCGAACGCGAGGCTGTATATGTCTTGTCGTAACTCCATGGGGATCCTATCGAGGGCTCCGAAGCCACCTTGCTCCTGCCCAACTGATGCGCTCGAAATGGCTCGGCACTTCTTGGGAGAAGCGTAGGCGTTGTACTCAGGGATCGGGCTTGGAGATCTTGATAGTGTGGTCAGCTCCGAGATGTCCGTCAGTGCTGGCGATGCAGCTCGATGTCTATCGGAACAGTCAGTTTCCATGCTTTCGGTCATGTTTTCCCTGGTGCCTGCAAAAGAGGTTCGCGGCGATGAGTTTGTGGTAGGGAAAGAGAAGGTGGGCAGCAGCAAGTAAAAGAGCAATGGGAAGACATGTGATGCAGAGTCGATGTTCTGGTGATCTGCCTTCACCGCGACAGGAGAACGTTGCTTCTTCAGGTGATCGAAAGCTGGTCACAAGGTCGCGGTTCACCCAGGACTTTTATGCTCGTGGCAATGCTTAGTCCACGGGCTCAATGGGATTGGGTACCAAGATGGTAACTGTAGCCAGAAGGACACGATGTAAGTAGGTGGTTTCCCTGTTATTGTCATCCTGTCATATCTCAGCAGCCTTCTCCAAATTATACTCGCCGCTCTTCGCGAGATCTCCTTCTCCGACCGGGTAGCCTTGTTTGACTGTTCATTTTCCACGTTATCTTCTCGACGTCATCAACGCGTCCCCGTCCGTTTGCCAGGCAACCATCTCGTAATACCGCGCTAGTCGCAAACGCTCGTGTTGTTTTGATCACCAGTGCTGTGTCTTCAATTTTTCGATCAGTCACACCCGCTACGAGACCAGTAAGTACTACTTTCCCGTTAATGAATCAAGCGTTCTTTCATTTGCGATGTTTTTCAGTCAAGCGTTCAGATTTTGGTTTGTGACAGCGAACGCCAGAACTTGTTCTGTAGCGTAGTGGGAGCCGGTGTTTACTAATTTATTCTGTGCTAACGTAGGAAAAATCTCTTGCGATCAGGCTATGGTTTACTCAAATGCAGTTTATACAAACCAGCCTCTTCGTAATGCGCGCACACAAGCTGACACTCATCAAGATCGACGATCAAGATGGCGAAGCTCTCCGATGACACCACTTCAGTCACGCACGCTCAAACACAGAGTCCGCTGTTCCAGTTGCCCGGAGAAATCCGCAACAGGATCTACTACTACGCACTTGACATGTGCTTCATACACTCTTCACGCCGATCGGCACAAAGCACCTCCGCGCCCGGCTCCATCAACCTCCAAGGCCATCTGGAGCAACACCAATCGTCTACGAACCTCCTGCTCGCCTGCAAAGCAATATGCCGAGAGGCTGAATCTCTATTCGCTGAACTCACTCCCGCGGAAGTCGATCTCCAAGTAACAAAGCGACTCAGCCGAACTGCAAAACGCACACTAAACTCGTTCATGCGGGTCGTCATTCAGTACCCTGTCGAGAACGAGAGAAGGCAGCGAGAAGGCAGAAGCTCGGCGAAGGTGAGCACCAGACAGTATGGTTGGGAGCTGTACAAAGCTCTCAAGCTATATACACGCGCATCGGCAAATCTTTGTCGAAACCGAGAGTTGCGTCGAGAGGCTACAGTCCATTATGGATTGCGCTGGCCAAGTCGCTTCCAGTTCGCTGGGGCCATCAAGAGAATGGCGAAGGACAGGTATACGTACTGGGCAGTCGAAATCCAGTACGAGTACTACGACACTGGAGATCTTGCAGAACTTCAAGAACTTCGCTACATTGCTTGGGCGAGAGATGAAGTGGAGAAACTGGGCAAGCGGATTCGGTTCTTCGTCACGATCTTTCATGGTGGCCCTGCGAGGAGGACCTTTCCTCTAATAGAGGCAGTTCTTGGCCATCGTGGCATCGAGGAGGGGGAGATGTTGGATTCGGTGTTGGTGGGTGAGAATTGGTGGTCTTTGGAGTTGAGCCTCTGAGTTTGAGGCAGGAGGATACGTGGTCAGAACACCTTGACCAGGTTGTATGTATAATGAGGATGTATGTAACAAGTGCTCGGTTTGGAGATGTGATGTGAAAGAGGTGAACTACATGTATGCGGCAAACACACTGCTCAGGTATCCTGGGGCCGTCGAATCATGATTGTAGTCCATACAGGTACTTGACAAGTTCTGCTGACGTGACGGTAGTGTTACGTATCCAGCTAATCATGCTAAGCTAGGCGCAGGACGAGAACTTATCTCGTGAAAGATTGGAACTAGTCTATGCTCCTTTTGGCGCGTTTGGAGAAGATGACTGAGCAAGATACTTACTGGGAAAGGATAGTGAAGGAGCTGATAAGGGGTCAGTGCATAGTAAAGTCACAAGACGAGCCTACCACACACAGATCAAATAGCCTTGCAGTTGGCTTATAGTGGGTATTGTTCATGGATCAATAACGGTATAGACTCATCTGTAAAGGATAAAAAGTCCCCGTCAAAGTCGTCAGGTGGCCGTTAGCCCCTGTGTCAATCACGAGGTCTTCCCTCGCCCCTCTCCTTTGGTAGATCGTCTCCTCTGTATTATATATTCCTCCTTTACTACATTTGACTCTTTCCTTTTCCCGTATCCTTCCTGTCATATCTTTGTACTGTGTAGATTATACTCCCATATCCTGGACTTCGTCTCCCGTATACCTCACCTCAACCGATTGGACGGCTAGAAACGATGAAGTTCCTCTACTCTAGCCTAGTTGCAGCGTTCGCGTTGGCTACTGGTGCTCTAGCTCTTCCAAGCACATCAAATTCGGTTTCCTCTTCGCCTCAAGTCCAAGTCAACTTGGAAATGGCAGGCAACACCAACGTCAAGATATCAATCAAGAACACCGGGTCCGAGTCTTTGCGCCTAGTCAAAGTTGATGGTCTTCTAAGCGACTTGGCCGTCGACAAGGTCACTGTCGTGAAAGATGGTAGGTCGCTTCCGATGCACGGCGGAGCAGATACTAATGCATTGTACAGGCAACAAGCTCCCTTTCTACGGTATCCACGTTGACATCGACCTCACTGCGCTTGCAGACTCCTCATTCCAGACCTTGTCACCTTCAGAGACAGTCGACGTGAACTTCGATATCGCCCATGTTTACGATCTTGGTGCTGGCGGTGTGATCGATTTGGTGTCGCAAGGCACCTTCCTCTATGCGACCTCCGGATCATCTGTCGTAGAGACCATTTCCTTCGTCTCGAACACTATTACCGTCAACATCGATGGATCTGAAGCAGCCGCGACCCGTCAGACTTGGCTTTCAAGCATATGGAATGCCGAATTCAACCTCCAAGGCGGTTGCACCCACGAACAGTACGACATTCTAGATCAATGTCGCAGTCTGTGCTCCGATCGCGCCTATTCCGCCTGGCAGAACTCGCTTTCCGACGCTGGCAATCACACGAGGATCATGGAGTTCTTCAAGGACGACACTGAGCAGATTCGCAAGAAGCTCAATGACGGCTTTCTCGCGATGGGAGGTGAATGTCGGAACATGAACGAGGGCCGCGTCAAGATCTTTTGCAACAACCTCGATGGCTGTGCACCGGGTGTATTGGGGATGACTGTGTGGGCTGGCGAGGAACTTCACGTCAGGTTCTGCCCGTTTTGGTTCGATGCGTGGTACCAGATTGATCATCCAGAATGTCATGAAGGCGACAAGACCAAGACGATGACGCATGAGCTCTCTCATGCATTGTTCAGCGTCGGAGATGTCAAGTACGGATATGACAACTTTATCACGCTCAACTCCACGGATAACCTTAACAACGCGGACACTTATGCATTCTTCGCTAAAGGTAAGCCATCTCAACTCACAGAAGGCCTCTCTATGGATCTTGAACAAACCGCTAATCTCATATACAGCGTCCCACAACAATTGTTGAATTTGGTCGATCTTCACATTCGCGGCTTGTTGGAAAAAGAGTAGAATGTGATGATACAGATGGGGTTACGGGAAGTCTAGTCGTATGAGCGTTCACTAGTGATATCCGCACGGCGATGTGAGAATTGGTATAATAGGGTCTCTACGTAGCTTAAACCCATGACAAGGATCTTAGACCTTAATCTTGCCTAGCGCCTTGACCTCGGTGAATGCATTGACCAGGTCAAAGTACACCCCGCTTTCTATTTTGATCACCTACCATTGCGGAGACTCTGAATGTCACAAGGTGCACATATCTCGTCCTTGCGGTCTGCACCTCGCCACACACAAGATCGGCGAGCCAATAAGTCTTTCGGTATAGCCCTCGCCATTGCTGCAACTACAACATTTCGCAACCGGTTGTATCCCGCCATGGAGCTGCTCGATCTTCCAACCGAAATCTTCGAATGCGTTATGGCGCACTACGTCAAGGTGGACGGTATCCGACGAGCCTGGCTTCGTCGCAGTGTGTGCAGTAATCGATTATGTCACCACTCATGACGGACAGCATTGCTGACGACTACAGGAACTTTCGGCGACCATATCAAAACAGAGGTGCTTGCCAAGCAGCCTGCCTCAGCCTATTGGGGCCTGAGTAAGCGCGATTCAGCGTTTCTGCGAAAGATACTCGGACCCTTCCTCGAGCATCGAGTGGTTGCACTGTACGGCGCCAATCACGTTCTCCCCACGCATATCAACAAGATTGTCGACATTCTCGTTAACGTCAGCGGTGACACCTCGTCTGAAAAGCGCTCGATTTGGGTCCGCGGTGTAATCGGCGCTCTGATCAAAACCCCGAACATCTGCAAGCTCGCCTATAAGCCGAGTGATAAGAGCAAGAGCAGGGTAATTTCGTCATCGGGGCGTCAAGAGGCTCTGAGTGTCGCGGTCATCATGGGGAAGAGGGACACGGTCTGCGCACTCACTACCGAGCAGGGTGCCATGTG